TATGTTATCTGATGCCTCTATTTTTTGCTTTGCAGGATGTTAAATGGAGAACACAATGTCCCACAAAACAGCCAAGTCCCCACAAAGCAGCAACAGGGTTCACGTTAAGAGAAAATAGTAGCTGGTGGACAAGCCTATCCAGCAGATTATCCAAAAAGGGGAAAGTTTCTGAGGTCTACAGCCTAAAATGCTTTCCCAGTTAAGAGTGAAGGCCATTACCCTTCCAGTGGTTGTGGCCTGTTTGTGAAGATAATGGTGGTGATGGTAGTCATAAAGGCAGAGTATATGTGCATATAAGGTTGGGATGAGAGAACCTGTGGTTTTTCAAATTTTGCTGCACTAAAACAGGTATGGGCAAACCCAGGCCCAGGGGCCAGATGTGGCCCCTTGGGCTCTTCTCTCAGACTCTCCTCACTCTCATCTTCCTATCCTTCCTTCTCTCTTTCCTTCCTTCCTTCCTCCCTCCCTTCTTTCGTTACCTTCTTCTTACGCCCGCCCGCCTTTCTTCCCTTCAATGCTTCCACCCTTTCTTTCTTCCCTTTCCTCCTTTTCCTACCTCCTACTCTTTCCATTTCCCCTCCCTCCTCTTTTTCCTCCCTCCTTCCATCCCCTTTCTTCCTTCCATCCTACTCTTCCTCCCTTTCTTCCTTCTCTTTTTCCTTCCTCCTTTCCACCTGGGGGATGTTCAGCTGGGAGAGGAGAATGTAGAGAAGGAACATGAGAACCATGTTTCAAGATTTAAAAGGGTGTCCCATTGAGAAGGAAGGGAAAAACTGACTTTCTGCTGCTCTAGAGACCAAGGGAGTGATGGGTTAAAATTGCAGGGAAAGAGATTCGATTGAAAGGATTTGGAAGAACCTGAAAGTAAGAACTGTTGGAAAGTGGCATTGGGCACCTCCGAGTGTGGTAGGGTCTCCTTCTCTGGGAGCTTTTCTGCAGAGGTTGTCTATTGGGATGCTTTGATTGTGCCTTCTTGCACGGACTGGATGGCCTTGGGGGTCTCTTCCAGCTCTAGGATTCTATATCAGGAGTAGACAATATGGGGTCTAATGGATACACTTTGTCTCTCCTGTCCACCATCTCATCCGGACCAAGACCAACCCTTTTAGGATCCAAATGTTTCCCATCTTTCTTTCATTTTCTGCCTCTGAAAGTGAAGAGGAAGGGGAGGAGGGGGGGACTTGGGGAGAATCCCCTCCCTTCCAGCCTGCCCACCCCACTCCGGCTTGCCATGAGACCTCCAAGTTAGAATGTTTGCCCATGTTTAGTGCTGTTAGGAACTGGAGTCAGACATTTAGAGGGCAACAGGTTTTCTGCTCCTGCTCGAGGAGATGGAGAGAGAAACTTGGCTGGAAGAAGCTCCTAAGTGATAGTACCACTGGAACAACAAGGAGGGACAGAATCATAATCTCAAGCAAAATCGTGGAGGGTAATCGTTTTCATGTCTCCTTCTGCAGTCTTGTGCAACCTGTTGGGGCAGTCTGGAAAGAGGGAGTCAGAATCCCTCTGGGGACAGGGGAATTGGGCCTCCTTATGCTTACAAATGGCAACAGCGATCGTCGGCATTTGTGCGGATGGGTCACCAATTCTGCAGTCATGCAGCTCAAGGTGAACCGGCTTTAATAAAGCAAACCCCCAATTTCTTCTGCCCAATTGCTTTCAGCTCTTGTTTATACATTGAGTTCGCCCTTTGGGTTTCACACCGGTTGCTTAAGAGGGGTCAGGGACAAAGGATAGGCAAAACAGCTCTATATGTGGCAATAGTTTCCATCCTCCACACACAGGGCAATTGATGCAATGGCCCCTATGCTCTTTTCCTTAAAATGCTGCCCTTCAGCTTTGCTGGCATTCCTCCAGCACACCCTCATCATTCTTCATGCTCCAGAGAAGCTAGAAACACTTGTGCACCTGCAACAAGGACACTTCAAGAAGAGGGGCTTCCCCCCTCCCCATCCCCTGGAGTTATAATTTCAAGGTGTGTTGCGTAAGTATGAAGCAACTGGACTTTTGTGTGGAAAACAACTCTAAGATGAACAACCTCCCGTCGTGGACATGCCAGCTGATGATATCCAAAGGGGACATGAGGCATCAGGACTGGACTTGCTGGATTGGCTGGAATTGGCCACCATTTGACGTCTCCCTTTGTATAACTGTTTCCTTCAGCAGTCATTGCAACTGATATATAATCTAAGAAATGAGAAGGAAGAGGGGCCAGTTGCTTTATCTTAGGTGGAACACATTGCCATGTAATATCTTCCTTCTCAACTGTGTCCATCATTGGTCAATCCACCAGCTTGTTCTATAACTTTCTCTCACTATAATTAGCACTTGAAATGTGCAGATTTAATTTTTGCAAGTTTGATTATCTGCTGATTTGATTGTTATGGGCTCTAGGAATCTTTAGGTCCTCCAGTGTGACTCTATAATGGAAGTTAACCCATAGAGTTGTACTGGAGAATCTACTGACTCATAAAGAAGTGTTATCTCAAGTAAAAAAAAGTCTTCCTTCCATGGCTAACCCACTTTCACTGGGGTTGTGTACCCTTTAATCCCAGCAACATGGAGGTCGAACACCATAGCTCACTGTCATATTTTATTACGCTCCCTTTTAACATTTGTTTATTTTCTTCTTCTCGCCTCAAGCATTTTTATTGTCTTTTAGAATAGGAAACTGGTCTTCTGGAGTTGAAGTCCAACACTGAAACCATTACAGCATACTGATTCAGCTCCCCTTTTAAAAAGGTTGGTGGTGGGGCTTAGGGGTACTTACCATTTCACATGCAGGTCAAGTTATGTCCTCTACCATTGGCCATGACAACTGGCGCTTCTGAAAAGTGAAACCCATAATCTGCAGAAGGCCACAATATTTGCCAACTCAGTGAAGAGGAACCCATTTGTTAGGCAGAATTAAAAAAGAAGCAAGTCAGATAAGGAATGGGTGTGTTAGTCTTCTCCCTCCTTTCCTTAATCCTAGTTTCATTCCCTCTAGAGAAGAGCATCTAAAATTAGGCTTTGCTTTGGGCCTCTTTCTTCAGTTTCTACTAGCTTGCAGTTGGAATCGCATGAGATACATGGCCAGATCCTTCTGTCATGATGCACTGTGGATTAAGTGACTTTGCTGTTGTGAATGGATCTGAAATGTTCACCTTTTACTGTCTGGTTTCTTATACATGGCAAATATGAGAAAATAGCCCCTGCTTGCATGGATATCCCTCCAGACCATCTTAACTAACAAGTGAAACAACATCTGAGACAAAATGTAGGTTGGAAACTCAGAATATAGTTACATTTCTTCTCCTATATGATTTCAAATATCTTTACCTAATGAAGAAAGCAATTAAGCTTTGAAAGCTTGCATTTTGAATTTGTGCTTTTTAGTTGGCCAGTAAAGTAATACTGTTTTTTGTATTTTGTGGCTGAAACAATCATTATTATTATTATTCACTTTATTTATACTTTATTTATACCCCGCCTTTCTCACCTCGAAGAGGCGAGAAGGCCCTGTCTCTCGATCCCACCAATCGCACTGGCAAGGGGGGTGGGACCGAGAGTAGGGCCTCCCCAATTGATCTTAAATCTCTAGTTGGCTCATAAAGAGAGATACATTTGGACAGGTAAGTTGGATCAGAACTGTTTAGGGCAGTGGTTCTCAACCTGTGGGTCCCCAGATGTTTTTGCCTTCAACTCCCAGAAATCCTAACAGCTGGTAAACTGGCTGGGATTTCTGGGAGTTGTACACCAAAACACCTGGGGATCCACAGGTTGAGAACCATTGGGTTAGGGCTTTATAGGCCAAAGCCAGCACTTTGAATTGAGACCAGTAGCAAACTGGTAGCCAGTGGAGCTTACGTTACATGGGGTTAAACGCTCCCTGTACCCCCTCCAGTAAGAAATCTGGCTGCTGCCTGTTGGACTGTTTGGAGCTTCCGGACAGTTTTCAGAGGCAGCTCCACATAGAGCAGTGGTTCTCAATCTGGGGTCCCCAGATGTTTTTGGCCTTCAACTCCCAGAAATCCTAACAGTTGGTAAACTGGTTGGGATTTCTGGGAGTTGTAGGCCAAAAACATCTGGGGATTCCTGGCTGAGAACCACTGACATAGAGCGTGTTGCAGTAGTCTATTCAAATTGTAACAAGAGCATGGACCACTGTGACCAAGTCTAAGTTCTCAAGGTACGGGCACAACTGGTGCACAAGTTTTTATTGTGTGAAAGCTCCCCTAGCCATCCCCAAAACCTGAGGTTCAGCGATTAATCCAGGAGAACTCCCAAGCTGCAAACCTGTATCTTCAGGGGGAGTGTAACCCAATCCAACACAGGCTGTAACCCTATACTCTGTTCAGCCTTTCAATTGACCAGGAGTACCTCCGTCTTGTCTGGATTCAATTTCAATTTGTTCGCCCTCATCCAGACCATCACAGCTGCCAAGCACTGGCTCAGGATCTGAACAGCCTCCTTGGCAGTAGGTGGAAAGTAATGATAGAGTTGGGTGTCACCTGTGTACAGATGCCATCAAACTCCAAAACTCTAAAACAAGTTTTGTTTAACACACCAATGCAGTGTAGGGGATGGAATCCTTGACTCATTTAATAAATCTATAAAGGAAACATCCATTAATAATAGTTTTAGACTGCTATTGTTTACAGATTCAGGTAGTGATGGAAATAATGTGACCCATCCAGACATTATTGGACTGCTAATCTGGCATGAGTTGGTGAGAGGTACAATCCAGGAACATCTGGAGGGCTACATGCTTCCTCTCTCTTCCCTCCAATTCAGGGAATATTCTGTAATGCAACAATGAAAATTTTCAGCAGGCAGCAGACGAATACAGCTGGGGAAAGTTACTTTTCTAGACTATAACTCCCAGAATCCTAGGAGATGTAGTTCAAAACATTTGTTCTTGAAGACAAGAAGAAGACGGTGAGGAGAAATACGAAGACAACTGCAATGGGCTTCTTATTTATTTATTATGAGACTTCAACACAGGACAATTTTTAAAAAAAAAAACCCCAAGAAAAACAAGGATTTTACACTTGGCAGTCTCAAAGAAGCAAAAGGATGCTTTCGGACAGAGGTCAGACCTTCAACTTTGCCTGCAATTGGAATACTTGGAATAACAATCTGTTGCACAACCGCCTGACAATCAGCAACTTATCTCTTCTAACGCCACATTCTCTTTGTCGCAACAACCAACGGAGCGCTGGCCGGCTTCTACTGTGTTGACGGGCTGTGTTTACTCTGGCTGTCGATTGTTCTTTTGAGGACTTCGTCGGGCACCAGGTCAGATCTCCGGACGTTGCGGTTGTTGCACCCAATTGTGGGGCAGCTGTAAAGAAGGAAAAAGCAGCTCTAGTAGGCGAAAACAACAAAACCAACCCAATCAACATAATGGAACTTCTCATTGTTTTTCTCTTGGATCCATAACGGTGGGTCTGATTGGTTATTTCAAAGCGATGTAAAATCAAAACACAAACAGGAGTGCATATATCAACATTTTTTCATTACACAAACCCCAGTAGCAAAAGTGTAAATCCACCTGACACCTGTCCATGTCTTTTTCTCAGTGTTGTTGCAGACATTGGCATTCTCTTCCATCCATTGCAATGACCACCACCACCTGGTGATTGACAAAGTGTCTTGCTAAGCCACATAATCCCATCCATATCAATAATATCCTCTACTGATATTCCTGCAGATCTTGGTGGGACATGCTACCAGTCTGTTTCTGGACATGGGACATATTAGCAATCCTGCAATCCCCATTTCACTCCCTACTAGCCCCAGAATGGCCATGAAGGGAAACTTTGAACCCTGGAGGGATTGACTGGGGAACCGTAGTGGAGGATGTAATACCTGTGCATAATGAGTACCTTAAAAACAAAACAAAACAAAATACGTGGCCAAATGACCCCAAATTTGGCAACAAAACTCCTCACAATCCAAGGAGTGACCATCACTGAAAAAAACCCCCACAAAAACACCTTTAAATTCAAAAAAAGGAAGAAGACAACACACCTCCCCTGCCCCCCCCCCCCCCCCCCCCCCCCCCCCCCCCGCACTGATGACAAGTCAGCAAGGCCACTTTACTTCCCCTTCCCCTTTACCTTTGCAGTCCTTGGAAGGTGAGGTGGGAGAAGGAGAAGGGACCTAATGGGAGAGGGAGAGTGGCGGCAGGGTGGCTCATATGCTGCGACGTCAAAAGGAAGAGAAGGAGGAGGGCTCTGAAGCAACGGCAGTGGCAATGGCTGCTGCTTTTTTCCCCCCTTGGAGCCACAATGTGGGTCAGGCCAGGAGGGCCAGGTCAGGAGGTAGGGCGGCCGGGCACACGCTGGGTGGGATGGACCCGGGAGGGCCTGGGAGAGGGCAGGGTCAGGAGAAGGTGGGTCATCCTCAGGTTGTCCTCCTGGCATAAGGACAGGGCTACTTATGCTATCCTTATGCGAGGAGGAAAACAAGACGTTAATAATAATAATAATAATAATAATAATAATAATAATTTATTTATTTATTTATTTGGGGTGCTTCTACCCCACCCTTCTCAACCCCCTAGTGGGGACTCAGGGCGGCTTACAAAAGGCACAATTCGATGCCTAACAATTACAACATACAATACACTATACAATACACAAATTTACCACATAATATCACAGTTATAACTAAAAACCATCAGACAATATACTAGCAGCAATGGTCAGTGTTCGCCAAATCCAAGTCCGTAAACCTTTTAGCATCGTCATTGTCCTTTCCTACTCTGGTCATTATTGGTTGTCTTTGTCCATCTGCCAGCTTACCCGAAGGCCTGGTCCCACATCCAGGTTTTTAGCTTCTTCCTGAAGGAGAGGAGGGATGTTGATGTCCTGATTTCCCCGGGGAGTGCATTCCACAGGCAAGGGGCCACCACCGAGAAGGCCCTGTCCGTCGTCCCCAGCAGTCTCGCTTGTGATAAAGGTGGGGCCGAGAGCAGGGCCCCCTCAGCAGATCTCAAACTCCGAGGTGGGACGTAGAAGGAGATACGTTCGGACAGGTACGCTGGCCCCTGGGCCTTAGTTTACCCATGCCTGCTCTATATACCTATTATTATGTGGAACAGACTCATTAAAGCAACCTTAAAGGGGAGACTTTGTACATTTCTACATCGTTTTTCCAGATACGTGTAAGAATTTGGATCTCTCTTGCTGGTTTGAGATGGTTATCTTTCCCTTTCTCCATTTGTTTTATCTACTATAGACTGTTATGTAGCCCCTTCTTTAATGCATATTAGAGAACAACATTATTTTAAAAAGTGGGAGCATATCATGGATCTTATTGGGACTCTCTTTTCCTCAGATCAGCTACATGATGTGATTTTTCACGCTGACTTTCCCGGCTGGATAATACATACCTGTTTTGGGGAGACACATGACGGGGAAGATAATTAGCTAAGCAGGTGGGAATGGATGGCCTTGGGGAGAATGAGTGTACCGAGATTGATGAGTGTTCCCGCTCCGAGATCTGTCTTAAGTGGAGCACAATTTGCCCATGGTGGTAATAATGGGTAATAGCGTTACAGACTGCAATCTTTGCATATTGTCTGATGGCTTCAAAGAACTGCACAAATGATAACTCCTACTTTCTCATCCCAGAATGCCTGCTGATGAGTCTGAAGAGACAGGGGAACAGGTGAAGGCAATTTTTAAAAAGTGGTTTGCCTTGAGCCACGCTCAGAAACTGCAGCAAAGCAAATGCCATGAGAAATAATCAATTCTTAACACAGAAAAACCTCCAGCTCTCAAATGAGCCAGATCTGTATCTCTTTCTGCAATGTTAGCAAATATAGCTCGGGCATGGAACTGGGTACAGCACACAGATTTTGCTTTCCTGAATCAGATATTTTTTTCTGAAAAGGCACAATTGAGGATGTTTAAAACAAAAAATGTGACTATATCTTCCAGAATCCCTCAGTCAGCACAATTATACTCTGACTGTTAAGACAGATAACTATGTGGTCATAAACCTTCTAAACTGAGGACCCGTCCAGACAGTAACTTTATCCCAGGAGCTTCCGCAGCAAACAGGAGGATGGCCAGACACCATTCCATGTAAATGCCAAAGCAATCGCTACAAACGCAAGCAGTTCTTCTCCTATTTGTTTCCCTTTATAATCCAAACTATGCAAAAGACCCAGAAGCTGAGGACATGTCATTGAAAATGCAGAGCAAAAACTGATTTTGACAGGCAAACCAATAATTCTTTTTCCTAGGCAAAAGTGATGGAAATGACTCATTACATCAGTTACTTTTTTGAGGTCAAGGCCAGCAATGAAGTGCTTGAGGAAGGATCCAACAAAGCATAAAACACTCGTCCTCTTTAGGTAAAATGTAAGGATGGAGTATCGCCTTCTGAGCCTCTGTGTTGACAAACTGGTTTGTAAGATGCTATGCTGCAGTGACGCAATAGGTTAAACCCTTGTGCTAATGAACTGCTGACCTGAAGGTTGGCTGAACTGCTGACCTGAAGGTTGGCAGTTCAAATCAAGACAGGGTGAGCTCCCACCTGTTAGTTTCAGCTCCTGCCAACCTACCAGTTCAAAAACATGCAAATGTGAGTAGATAAATAGGTACTGCTTTGGTGGGAACAGGCGCTCCAAGCAATCTTGCCAGCCACACAACAGGAGTGACAATGCAGGCACCTCTACAGAGCCAGAGATGAGCACCACCTCCAGAAGCCAGAAAAGAAAGGAGAATGAAAGGAGAAGCCTTTGCCTTTATTTGTGTTTGTGTGTCTCATTGTATATGATTGTAAAGGCATTGAATGTTTGCCTATGTATGTAAAATGCTGTAATGCGCTCTGAGTCTCCTAAGGGAGAAGGGTGGAAAATAACTAAAGTGCATTATTATTATTATTATTATTATTATTATTATTATTATTATTATTGTTATTTTACTGACAGAAAAACACAGTATGTCACAGCAAACGAGATCTATATGCTGGATTTCGGATCACAGAATCACAAGTCGAACACAAGTCAAACAAGTCAAATAATGATGATGATGATGATGATGATGATGATGATGATAATGATGATGCCAGGGTCCTCTTCTCTTTCCAACTCAAGACCCCTTTGGCAGAGTGAGGATGAGACCAGGGGAACCTTTACGCAACACCTCCATTATCAAGACTTTGGGGAGGTAGCTGAGTCCATTGCCTTGCTAAAGACTGTGAGCAGCAAAATGGGCACAATGGCATAAACAAGTGGTATGTTGAGAATTTCAATCACCATTTATGTTGGGATCGGACTGGAAAGAACTCAACTCATCTGAAAAACCATTTAAGCATATGTGATGGATTTTGGGAAAACTCCAAGGGAGTTTGTGGGCATTTCATATCCGTCCAGAAACAATGGTTCACATTATCTCCTCTTTCCCTTTCCAGATGGGAAAATGTCTCCTATGAAGGAAGGGGGTCCCACTCTGGGAGAAAGCTAGTATACAAATGCAACAAATAAATAATATACAATAAACAACAACCTTAGTCTTAATTGAAAACAATGCATCCTACTTCCTGTTGGGAGAATTATGGGACTTCAAGTGAGAAAACTACTAGCTTCATTATAATCCTGGCCTAGACACAGCAATTAGTGTGTCTTTGGCCACAGAGGAGAAGTGCATGTGATTCAGGAAAGGTTGATGTTTTGTTGGGCCACATCCAAAATGAAGCCAGATATTCCAAGCGTAATTTGGTAAAAGAGTGACATCCTCTTGCAGCAGAGTTCAACCAATTCCTTCAACTTGCAGCATGGATACTAACCAAAGCAGTACTGGAATCCAACATACATGAAGCAAGTTGTGATTGACACCCTAGAAAATTGTGCATGTCATGCAATATCATGAAGTCCCTAAGAACATAAGAAGAGTCCTGCTGGATCAGACCAAAGATAACTCTAATTTAATATTCTGCTGACACATTGCCAATGGAAGGGCTATCAACAGAAGATGAATACAACTGTACCTTCCTTCCTACATTTTCCAATAGTGGCTCAAATGTTGGACTTGGGGTCTAGGAGACTATACTTAAGTGTCCTTTAAAAACCAACCAGGTGAGCTTGGGTAAGTTATACTTTTTCAGTCTCAGAGAAAACCACATCTGAATAAATATTGCCAAGAAAACCCTACAATAATATGTTCAGTGTTTTCTTGAAGGCCTACTACTACCACCACCACAATTGCAACTGATTTTCATAGAATCATAGAATTGGAAGAGACCTTGTGGGCCATCCAGTCCAACCCCCTGCCAAGAAGCAGGAAACACGCATTCAAAGCACCTCTGACAGATGGCCATTCAGCCTTT